TATATATATATTATTAATAAATAACAATTTATGAGTATTTATTTTTTGTGAATGGTGGGACAATCGAATTGTTGGATATTTTACCATTTTCCATATAATCTTACATATAAATTATAATTAGAGGCAATCACGAGTTCAAGGCATTCGATACCATACTAAACATAAAAGGCAGTTTTTGAAAGATCTTTCCAAGAGAAAGTTAGGTCAAGATGAGATAAACTTTTAATAAGCCTTCAAAATTGGGAAGCTACCATCCAACAATCTGTACGCAGTGATGATATATATGGAAGGCAAAAGGAAATAAATAAATAAATGGAGATATGGCGGGTATAATTAATTTCCTTATTTGTGTAAAATCATTAGAGATTACACTAATGACAATGTGATGGAACATCATTTTGTGATTTATCACCATTTTTTTATTTTCAATTAAACTTAAATATGAATGATTTTTGCATGTAAATTAGTTAAACAGACAAAATAAGAGGAATCTAAAAACATGCACAAAACACGTTAATGGAATTAAGTAATTAGTAGCATTATTTTTACCCTATTGCCTATTGGGAATTTGGGATTACACTTTCTAGGCTATGTAATAATAATAATAATAATAATAATAATAATATATTTTGAGATTTTATAATTATTTTATAATATAGTCCCTACCTTAGCTCATAATTTTCTTATATCTTTGTTTTAATTATTGTCAATGCTAATAATGAAAGCGTTCAAAATATTTAATAGCTATATGAGCCTCAAATTAACCAAATAAAACCTAATTAACATTCATCCTTTTGTTAATTTACATTAACTTATAGATTTAATTTAGGTTTTAGAAATTGATTTTGATGATCCGTGATCTGAAATGTAATTATAACTAATAATTACATTAATTTACTTTTGGTTTCCTAAAATTGGAGAAATGAACTAGCTCCAAACTATGTATGATACAACTTTGTATGTCGGCAAATTGCAAAAAACTCCATCGTTGAACCAACGTGAGGTTCAATCATTGATGCACACATTCACATGCAACCTCCTCTGTTTGACCAAATATTATTCACTAGAAGACACGTGTTGCTTCTCCAATAATTCAAGAGGAACGAAACCCGAGGTAAATTCTTTGTTTATTTGGCAATTTTAAATACTAGTTTAACTAACGGTTGCAGGTATTTAAACGTTTATTTTAATTGTTTATTTATAATATTATTTTAATTAAAAGTCTCTTCCAATCAAAGCTTGGAAAGAATCATACATATATATATGGCAGTTTTAATGATTAGGTGATGGCCCAATTTTATTTTATTTTTTTTAAATTAAATTTACCATATACTATTTCTTTTTAGTTTGGAACTGTTTTGTCAGATATTCTCTACCGGATATTCTTGTATTCATAATATTTTACTTCACCAGTTTGCTTCTCTTGCAAGTTGCTATGGTGCCCATTTCATACTAGTATTAATTATTTGTTTCATTTTATTTTCTGAAATATTTTTTAAGTCGAAGGAATCTTTTTTTATTTCAATGACAAATAAAAAAGTTGTGAAATTTTTTTTAGCTTCTCATTTGCATGTAAATTTCATTCAAATTTTATGTTTGATTTTAATTTCTCTAATTATATATTTATTTCTTATTAATATTCAAGATTCATTCACTTAACTTAATGATATCTTATCATACATTTCAGGAATTAATAATATATATAAAGAAGATAAGCTTTCACTCTTTGAAAAAAAGGAGCAGCCATGGGCAAGTTGAGTTGAGCTAATTAATTGCAACTGGCAAACCTATATATGTTACCCTCCCAATTGGAAACTTGCCTAATAGTTCAGCCCCCACTTAGAAATTTCTTGGTTGTTCAAGTTGTAGCTCAAGAACACCCATGGGTTATTTTAAACATTAATAGGTTTTAGGGCAAGACTATAGAGTTGGGTCAAAGATTTAAATGCTTATACTTCCCAAAAATACATGAATCCTTTCTTTTTTTAATCCGTATGAAAATGATTGAAGAGAGGTAATCGAATCGCGCAAAATAAGTTGATGTGATTGCATTTAATGTAAAAATATTTACAACATGTAAGATTGGCTTTGCAAGTGGTTCATGAATTAATAAAAATAATAATAATTAGTTTAATTAGCTATTTGTTATCCCAGCTTTTGGTGCAAAGTTAAAGCTCCAAAATTGAGCATGTTATATTAATCTCTCAGTCTTTTTTAATGGTACTAAAATAGGTTCATACCCTACTTTAGATTGAGAAAGCCTTGAATCAATATTTTACATATGCAATAAGTACAAATTTTCATGCAATAATCTTTTAAAGTTTGAATTTATGTATTCAAATGAATATATAGCCCAACATTCCTAAATTAACATTATCTATATTAACTTTTTATTAAAATCTTGTCATGATTAAAACTCGAAACATCTAATTTGATAATAATTTTAAATTTGAATCTTGAAAAAATATAGAAGGGCAGAGCTAACAAGATAAGATGGAGCTAGCTCGGTAGCTAGCTATAACTTTTCTTTGCATGGCTAGTTCATACCCATCACACTTGCAAGTTTTATTACGTAACCATGAGGTTTCTCTATGCATTAAAATATCTTTCGAATTCTAATGCAACGAGGTGAACAGTCTCATTCTAACTTTACTATTGTAAGCACTAGCTAGCTTATTACCTCGAGTTTTATATTTTAAAGAAAAAACCCCATACCGTTGGTAACAATGAACCTGGTTCTTCTCCATCATTGTCCCTAAACTATAATATAATACTAATAATAATTATTACTGTTACTATATCTTTAATACAGGTAAGGTTAAGGCATTCTGAATATAAAAGTTGAACATACCCCGTAAAGACCAAGACAAAGGAAAAACTCAAACAAAAAAAAAAAAGACCTTATCGTTTGTTATGATCCATTCCTCGTTCAGAGTCCACCGACTTTGAGCATGGCCTTTGCGGCTAAAACACTAGAACTGTGGGCGATTCTTCTTTATTTATCTCCATTGTGGGCTTGACTTTAATCGATCACTGTTGCAAGTCATTGGCAACTTTGGCCTTGGAATGCTGCAACCCCTTAACCCCTTAACAACTTTCGCTTGTCCACTCTTAATTTCCATTAGTAAAAAAATAAAAGAAAGGGGAGACATGGATTGAGTATCTCTGTAACTCGTAATAAACTAAACCCTAAATTCAGCTAATGATGATTAAAGTGAAAAAGAAGTTGCTCTGCACTTTGCATGAGAATATTCGATTGGGACCAGACAAAGCTAATAGTTACTTGGAAGCATATAACCGGCATGCTGCCCTTCTTTTACGCTTAATCATAAGTTTTAAATTACTTAAATTGATATATTCAATATTATCGTTATCCCAAAGCCAAAGTCACCCTTCCATGCCCCTTGAGAAAAACAGATGCATGGGATTGGGCAACAAAGAAAGTGGACTCCCTCAAGGTTCCCATTTTCGTTTGCTACTTGACTACTTCTCCTCCCATAGTTGCTTAGTGTAACCCTACGTCAATATTTACTAAGATCACGTTCAATTTTTTTTTTGTTTAAAATTAAGTTTTATTTTTGGGGTAACTTGTTAATCGGACATGCAAACCAGTTAGGGATCTTGACATACTTTCCCTTTCTGTAATTGAAAGTTTTCATTATTATAACTTAATGTATAATATTTTAACTATTGTTTAGTATTGTATCTTTGATTCTCTTGTATAAATAAAAAATTAAAAAATTATAGAGAGTAAACAAGTTATTGAGCATAAAAAAATAACAAAGACAGAGAGGTGAGGTCCTTATTCTAGATTGTATAGTTTGTCTTTTCACGTTTATTAATGTAGTCTATTATTGGATGAAATTGAATTAATGAAGGTCAAAGATTAATGACAGTTATATATCGTTGCTACTTGTTGTGAGGTTGTGGCTTGTTTATTATGATAAATTTGTTTAAATGCTCATTGATGAAATGGGGTTTTCTTCAAATCCAACTTTTTTGGGAGGCCAAAATGAGTTTTAGGTTTGCAGTGTATATGTATTATTTGTGGGAAAACTCCACTACTTTTTGTTGACTCTAGTCTTTATGTACCATTGCATTGGCATTGTTGGAGTGGAACAAGGGGCTGACAAAGAATAAAACAAGATGATTGTAATTTTCCATGGGCGTAAGGAGCCAATAGGAAAGATGTAACCCAATTGACAGGCAAGAAGAAAGTGGGATTTTGAAAGCTCAGCCGATACTTGTCAGAACTTTGGTCAAACCCATGGGCCATTTCCCCTAGTAATTAGGAATCCACCCTGGGGTGCATAGGATAATTTTCCAAAAAAGTCAATTCCTAGCACCTCATTGGATTTTTCCCACGGGGGAAAAGGCTTACCTTTCTTTTCTTCTTTTGAAGGAAAAAGATCAAGGAATAAGGTGCCATGGAATTAGTCTAAAAATTTGAAAGTGAAAAAAGAGGAGCAAAAAAGTTTGGTAATACCATCAGAGGATCATCCGGTTGAGGAGTCTTTGCTAGTGCAGAGCTTAGCATGCCATGGAGATATGCTGCTTCGGCAAAAATGCTATAAACCAAATTTAAATGCTTCTTCCAAGTGGGGATATCTTCTTATTGTGCATAGTTCGTTCAGTTTTTACCTTTCAATGTTTGTTTCAAGTTGTTTGATGCCTACTCGTTTTGATCTTATGTTTGTTTTTTGTTTTCTTTTCTTTTGTGCTGTTACGGTTTAGAACTGTATTCATTCAAATCATGCTAAGGGTCATGGTGACAAGTTAATATTACACTTCCCACAATCGAGTCATTACCTATCCAAGAAAAAAGCAAAGCCGATAAACATGGGGAAGCTTTTTATGAAATCAAACAAGTACTTTGCAATGCCAAGTTCCTCAGTTCTCACTGTTGAATGCATAATTGGACTAAATGTCAACTACAGCTAATCTAAAAGACAAATGGTTTCACAGTGGAGGAAGGAGAAACCATTTAGAATGGAACCAAAAAGAGAAAGCTATCCATCACAACAACTTTCATTCCAACAAAAATGTCACCTCAAATAAGGTCCGGGTGTCTCCTATACTTACAAAATTGGAGACTCCTGAAAAAGACTGATTTCTAGCTCCCTAAACTGGTGCAAGAAAATCACCATAAGTAGTGAGGTTGCATCCTGAACATTTACCGACTTTGCAAAATCTTTTAACTCAAAAGATACAGTCATTACAAAATCAAAACTTTTGAAATCTTACAATAAGACTCAAGATTCATTTATTAAAGTATGTAATTGCTGTCGGAACAAGGAAACATTTTTTGCTTCAATAGCCATGACAATCCCTGTTAACTGGTAATTTTTTAGCTGCAAAAATATAGAAAGAAGATAATTTAGCCATTAGTTTGACGAAGAAAGATAAAGGACATTTTAGATATTAACTATCCAATAAGACTGTCTATTTTAGTAGCATTAACAATAAACCAGGAAAAAATGAACAGAGAAACATTAACATAAAGATCATGATGCTCTATGTATAAAGGAACGTCCTTAATCCTTATGCACAGCGCTGTACTGTTGAAAAGAAAAATTGATTGCAAGAACTACAAACAAGATGTTATTAAAGGTTTTTTTTTTCCCAAAGTAGAATTTCAGGAAAAGATGTCATATTGGGGTTCATATGTAAGTCTTGCAACAAACTCCATAAATGTCAAGCACTTGAAAAGAAAGAGAAAAGGGTAAAGAACAAACTGGGTCCCATTTACACGTTGCTTACCTATTTATTTCCTGTCTCCTTTTTACTTCCTCAAAATGTGCTATGAAGTAAAAGCAACTACTAAAACGCAAAATCATATTTGATTTAAATGAGGAAATGGCAATAAGGTAATGCCAATTAAATAATAATGGTTCCATACAAGTAAAATCATGCTTTTTGATATCTATAAAGTTTAGAAATAAAAGGTTATAAATATATACTTTTAATTCTCTAAAAATATTGTTTGTTTCAATATCCAAAAAGCATTTTACCTTTTGCTTCCAGAAGCAAGCAGTAAGAGTTAGACCAGATGGAACCTAAATCAATTTTTTGTGATCTTTGAATATTTCAAAGATTACCTTGAGGTTTTTAAAGTAATAACTTAAGACATGCATAGATAATTAAAGGGAGTTACAATTTTAAAAAGGTATCTTTACATTCATTAAGATATTTCGGTTACATTACACTCTTCTGGTTTCAAGTTTTTCAAATACAGCCATAAAGGTTTTAAATTGACAGTTGACACTTAGACCTCCGAAGAAATTGCGAAAATTTGTTCTCTTCATTTAAAGTTTAACATTATAACCCCTTATTATTACAGGATAATACCTCAAGAGATTTAAAATTCACTTTTGAAATCCCAGAAAAAGGGGACAGGGTTTGTCAAAAATCTAAAAAATCATAAGGTAATTTACCGAAAAGGAAATTACCCATGAAGCGTTTTTAGAGTTGAGCTAGAAGGATCAATTATAGTAAGTTTGAAGTAGACTCCTACTAACCTCATGAGTTGCGACCTGCTGAGTTTGTAAAGGGAAAAGGAAGGACCACATGCTCAGCTGAAATGTGTTTGAGAAGGGAATCATTAAACTGCAAAGTCAAAAACAAGCCAATAGACACATAATATATTGTAGATTAGATGCATCAAAGAACCAATACCTTATGAAAAATCTCATCTTCTGGCTTAATATATATAACTTCCTCATTTTTGTCAGCACTTGAAGACCTTTTCCGATGATGATTTTTTTGCTGTAACTTTGTGTCCAAAGTCAGAGAAAGAATCATAGGAATGCTGATATGAAAAGTACAATCAGCACAAGGAAGATCTTATACCTTGTAAATTTTGGTTACTAGTACATAAAACTTGAAGCGGAAGGAATCACGCAACTCTTCTGTGGGCTTCGAAAAGTAAAACAAGACCATATGAGTTTACCAGTGATATGTGTTTCCAGTTGTTAGAGATAGTATATTTTACTAAGTACACCCGTTTGCTAAACATCTAACCTCATCTTCTGTAGCCCATGAGACTTCATCAAACAGCGCATCATAAAGATGCGGCAAGAGTTCAGGAGGAAGATTCACCACACGTTGGGAAACCAGGAGACCCACATCCTGTGCTTTATCTCCCAAAAGTGATCTCAAGTTGCCTATTTTGTCTTTCTCATGGCATATGTTAAGGAGGAACTCCTTGATCTCTGTAATACACTTGTGATCCTAGTGAGAACAACATTTCACCAACATTTTAGCCATGGCATTTTATTTCACATGATCACACAAGAAAAGGCACCTCAACAGATAAAATTATGAAACCACCCATAGTTCAAGAAGATTGAAAAGGTATTGAGGTAAACATTAATGAGTGATAAAACTTGACATCATGACCAATTTAGCGTCAGGTTTGGGGAACTTTACACAAACAAATCATTCTATCACAAGAAAGAATTATATGGAAAGCTTGTTTACTAGCTAATCAATCACATTGTGCAGTGGCCCTTCATTCACACTATGGGATTTGAGTTTAGATTATAACGATCAGGTATTTAGTAGACTATTGAATATTAATTTATCCTAAGTACAGTAAAACCAGAATGGTACCATATATCAGATCGGCAGTAAGGATTACCTTTAATCCAATCAATTTCATATTGGGGCCAGTCCATCATTAATCCAGCTAATTGAAAAAGGTTAAACAGAGAACAGTTAACTTCCCTTCATATACATTAAAAGCTGAAAGCCAGGGTCCTAAAATTTTTTGGCTTATCCTAACCAAAAGCAAGCTAGCCACTAAGATCATGTACAAAGAGAAACAATCACATCAAAAGGATAAGTTTCTTACTTTATATCTCCCCAAGTTGAGGGCAGTAAGTACAGAAAAAACTCCATTGTCTTCATCATCCTCTAATTTAACAACAGTTCCAACAGTGGGTTGTCCTGTTATCAAGTCTATGAAACCACTCAAATCCCATTGCTTGTTATCAAGGTAGGATTGCAGCAAGGTTTTCACACCGTGAAAATCATCAGGTTTTGGATCAAAGAAGGCAAAATCTGCTTGGATAACTCCCTTAAAGAAAAAGGGAAAAGCAAAAAAGACAAATTATTTAAAATCTTCTTCATATATATATTTCACTGAATATTCAAAGTTGCAGGAATAAGTTATTTACATTGAAGTCTTCATCATCAGATGACTCAGATAGTCTGTCTATCTTTTCTAACTTGTTTTTAATTTCATCACCTATAATTCAGGTCAGAAAGCAATAAGAATGTACTCCAAAATACCAAGGGAAGTCAAGCAGATAACAATAGAAAAGAGAATGGTTATCTCTTTAAACACGATAGACAACTCAATTTGGCTGAAAAACCTGTTGACTGTCGTTTGACATCAAGCATGAGATGCCTAACCAGGTATGCAGTGGCAGCTCGAGCAACAGAACGAGCAAATGGTGAGAAAGTCAAAGGCAGAACTGGTAACAGTCCATGATGCCTGGTTGGTTTCCGCCGCATCTTGCTTAATCTGCCATAAATTTGGCAGCAAATCAAGGGTTAGCAGGGCTTCACAATAAGGTGCAGGATCACAGGTCCTAATTCCTAACCTAGTAAAATAATTTTATTCCATTATTACATAAATTTGTCTTTTCAGATTATATGAATGCATTTTCATTGGATTAAATACAGAAAAATCTCTTTACTTTACTTTAAACAAAGCATAAACATTTACAAATATATAATTTTATAGCGCACACAATATTCAAAAATTAACTAAATACGGCAACTTTCAGCATTGAAATAAATCTTCAAGTCAGGTGAATAACATAAATTGAAATATCAAAAATAAAAGATGAATTAAGAGAAAATGGAAAGGAGTTACTATTATTCAGTGTGTATACCTTCGTGCAAATGTTCGCAAAGCTTTGTTTTTTAGAGCAGTTTCAGAGGGGGAAAAGACTGCAGCTTGTTTCGTCTTCGTCATTGTTTTTTGTTGGGGCAGATTGTAGCGGACGACGCCGTACCGACGAGCAAAAATAAATTGGAAGACAGGGGAGAGGAACACCAGGAACCGCCGTGACAAGGAAGCGCTGCTTCCTTTCTCCTTTTGAGTTGATTTGAGTTAAGTTGGAATTTCGACAGGTGTTGAGGGTATTTTAGCCCTTTTTGGGCCTGACCGTGGGCATTTTAGGGTTTTACGCTTTTCTTTTAATTCGAAGAAAGAGAGAGAGAGAGACCCTATATTTCTCTGCTCTTGCTTGCTCTCCGAAGCGTTAAATTAAAAGCCAGAAAACCCAAGAAGGAAGGTGGAAAAGCAGGTTTAATCCAAGCAACGAAATGTCTCCTCCCCCCAAAGTTCTCATGGTATATAAACAACAGATGTTTATTCTTTAGGCTAAATACATAATTAAATTAATCAAAATTGTTCATTTTTAAGTTGGTTGTCTCGCTGTTATTGCAGGTGGCGGAGAAGCCTAGCATCGCTCTCTCCATCGCTTCCGTACTCTCTCATGGCCAAGTATGCTTAAACCCCCTCTTGTTTTGTGAAAAGCCTCGTAGTTTCATAAATATTACAAGTTTGAACCTTGAAATTTTGATTTATACATTTTAAACCTTAAAACTTTCATCTTTACTGTATTGATGCTATTAACCATTGGGTTTACTTTCTAAGTACCAACAAAACAAGGTGAAAGCAGACAGACATAGTAACAAAAAATGAATTTTACAGAAATAAAAATCTTTCAATATTATTTGGTTGAAATTAACAGTTGTTCTAAGCTACTGAAGTTAGCGCAAGCTCTAAGCTCTTGTACTGTTTTAACCTTTCAATAAAAAAATTTAAATTAAAAATCCCTGATAAAAAAGTTAGCATTGGCTTGATTTCAATTATAACGTTTGACTCGTAGATGCCCTCATGGTATAATTTGTTTGTTTGATTCCTCCCCCCCACCCCACAACACCAATTCCTTTTTTTCCCCCATAAACTACCTTCATAATGGCTTCTGTAATGAATAAACAGTAATCCATTTGGAAATTTTGAAAGCCCTTTGTTGGGCTTGGGTTTGGTCCATCATATTTTTCATTGAAGTTACACCTTTTTTACTTATTAATTTACAGGCATAGCTACGTGAAGTGGATGACACAATCATGAACCCTCTTATTTCATTTTAGTACTCACTGCAACGCATACTAATGTTTTGGTTTGAACACTAGCATTTTTTGTGAATGCCATGCCATTTTTCACTATTGAATCTTTGTTAGTGATTTACAAGTTGTATTGTGTTTGTCAGATGTCAACAAGGAGGGGTAGTACTGAAGTCCATGAATTCAACGGGACATTTCTTGGCTTTAATGCCCATTATAAAGTGACTTCAGTTATTGGACATGTATTCAGGTCCTTATTCTCCCTGATATGTTGAAAACAAAAAATGTGATAATTTTATTTTGCTCCTTGCTTAAGCTTTGTGCTGACTTAAGGATTTGTTGTATTTAAGTGTCTATAATGCTGATGCATTTTTCCTTATTAAGTTACTTTTATATTGATGCATTCTTCATTATTAAGTTATTTTATATATGTTCTACTGAGAAAATAGTTTTGTTCACATGCTAAGATTGAAAGGCTCGAGTGGATATTTTGGTGTAGGGAAAGATATTGCTTTAATGTTTGATTCTGGAAAAAACATATTCAGCTATATATTTGCATTAAACTACGGTATAACCGGCATTACAATATAGTCATAACAAATGGCTTGTAGAAGATGTTAAGGCAAACTACTAATCTAACTTGGTACTTGTTTTGTTTACTTTTGTTAGCCTTCCTAACTTATTGGCTTGATTTCTCATGATGATATTTTTCCCTTTTTTTTCTTGTGCAAATCTAGTGTAGATTTTCCTGCATCCTATCAAGATTGGAATGCCACTAATCCTCTAGATTTATTTCAAGCATCAGTTATCAAGACAGAATCAAACCCAAAGGTATATATAATCTATGCAACTTTCTACCAATTTGCTGTTCCTTTATAATTTTTTCATTGTCCTTCTCTTGAGTGATTTTATGGGTCAGCATGTGTTTCTCTTATCATCATCTGCATGCAACTAAGTTGAGCTGGTGATGGCAGTTAGTTGACAAATCCATCTGAATTCAATGTATATCTGTAATTTAGTCATGGTATTAGAAAGCTTTCTCCCTTCCTGCTGTGAAAATTCCTATTCAAATGCCTATATCAATTCTGTACTTAATTAAGTTGTTATTCTAAATTAATTTCATTGACTACTGGAGTTCTTTAAAATTCATGTTCATGAGGATATAGCTGTAGTTTACCATGGAATATTGACCTACTTAAATTTACTTCCTTTATCTTTGCCTGCACAAGTGGCAATGCATAAATAATATGACAATAAACCATGACAGATATAGTTAGTAGATAAATACTACAAATTTTGCTTCTATATCACATTATGGCTCAGATAAGTCGGTATTTGATTTCTTGGCTGGTGATTAGGTGTTAACTTTGTGTTCTGATGTAATAATTTAAAGCTATAATTCCTTTTTAAATGTGTAATTTCTTTTTTTTCTTTGGGGTAATCAGGCCCATATTTCTAGACATTTAAGCCAAGAAGCTCGTGGTTGTGGTTATTTGGTACTATGGTTGGATTGTGATCGTGAAGGAGAGAACATTTGTTTTGAAGGTAATTTTTCCTCTTTTTGTACTTCTATGTACATCACTGTGAAGCAATACCTGTTGCTGCATGACTTCATGGTTAAGCAAATTTATGACAGTATGTCATGTGTTATTCATGTAAAATCAATCTGCATTACTCTTTTGAAATCAGTTTGATTCTTTGCTGAGAAAAAAAAAGAAATAAAGAACAATTATTTCTTGTTTCCTGATTGGTAATTCTATAAGGCATTACACTGAATAGGGTTCCAAATTTCTGAACTTTAACCTTTTGGAATGGCTTGAAAGAAAAATTATTCCTTTTGGAATGACTATAAAATTCCTCAGATTAGTTATGAGCATGAGATTGTTTGTAGATCTTCTTTGAGTGACAGATTCTATATCTGCTTACTTTTGTTGTTATTATCACTATCTTAATGTTTTTGTAGTCATTGAGTGTACGGGGTTTCATATGAATGAGGCAAAGAAAAGGGTTTATCGTGCTAGGTTTTCTTCTGTGACTGAGAAAGACATCTCAAGGGCTATGGACAACCTAGTGGAACCAAACAGACATGAGGCACTGGCTGTGGATGCTCGGCAAGAGATAGATTTGAAAGTTGGTGTTGCTTTTACCCGATTTCAAACTAGTTATTTTCAAGGAAAATATGGGAATCTTGACTCCAGAGTTATCTCGTTGGTTCTTTCAGCTCTCTTCTCTATCATTTGTTGTTCATTATGCATTTCCTTAAGAGATTTCATGCGTATTGTGCTTCTGTTGCATTTTATTTGCATAAATTTTATATCCTTACGGAGGACATGAGAAGTTTGCAATGTTGGTTTTTTGCTTTTTAGTTCATTCCCTTTCTCTAGAGTTATTCTGACTATTTCACGGATACGATTTTGGTTATTTTCCACTTGGGAACAACCATTTAATCGGCTAATTAATTGCTTATTTCAGCTATGGTCCATGTCAAACCCCCACACTTGGGTTTTGTGTACAGCGCTATTTGCAAATTAATACTTTTAAGCCAGAGAAGTTTTGGGCATTGCGTCCCTATATTATTCAGAATGGTTATGATCTTCAGCTAGAATGGAAACGTCAAAAGTTGTTTGACATAGATGTGAGGCCTTGTTACATAAACATTTACTGATGTTGCTCTTCTATTTTTTATGAACTATGGTGATTAATTTTTTCTTTTTCTATATTTCAGGTTGCTATAATGTTTCAGAAGTTGGTGACAGAGGATGGAATTCTTGAAGTAATTGATGTATCAGAAAAACAGGAAAGCAAAGGTCGACCTTCTGGTCTGAACACAGTGAATCTTTTGAAGGTTAGAAGAGTTATGATATGCTTTTGCTAATCTTTCACTTGTAAGTAGCTTATACTTGATTCTTGAATAGCTGCTTAAAAGAACTATAAATTGCTTTTGCATGATGGGTGGATGGGAATGAAATCTTTGCTTGGCATGGCTAATTCTTGAATAGCAGTCTTGTTTAGGGAAAAATAAATCGAGATAACTCTCTTAATTTTGTTCAGGTTGCTTCAAGTGCATTAGGCTTTGGACCTCAGACAGCCATGCAACTTGCTGAACGCTTGTATACACAAGGTTTCATAAGGTCTTCTTCTCTCACTCTTTGGATTACAATGGGTCTTTTTGTGCCTTTCCTTACTAATTTTTGTAATGCCATTGCAATTTGTTACAAATACGATGGAAAAAGCAAATAGATTTCCTACCTGTATTCTTGGAGTCTTTCTTAGGTGCTAAGTGCTACTATATGAGGCTAGCTAAATGTTTTCTGTACCAATGGAGATTTTGTCTGATAAGGTTATGTTTAGGAGTTTTATTGCCAGGTGGCCACATATATGTGCTTATATTATTTCTCTGTTTCCCATATGAGCTATGAATCTTAATTCATATAATGTGTTGTAAGAGAAAGACTCTGCAGGTTCTGATGATATGGTAAGAAGTTTTTTACCTTATATCACATTTAACCTCGGTAATGAATAATGTTCAGAGCTAACTGCTGAGTTGGTGATAATATAGAAATGAATGATAAAGTTTTTCACTAAAGAGCTAGTTATTCAGATGACTCTTTTAGTTTTAAAGGACTGGGAATACCTAGACTCAGCATGGGTTTCTTAATATGCTATTCAGCATGCTATTGGGAAATTTTCTACAGAGAGGTTTATGCTAGAAATAATAAGCTGGGATTTAGTTCTTTGGTTGTTGCTTTTATCTTTAATTAGATGATTAAGTGTGGAACTATCTATACTAAACTCTGTTTTGTGGTTACTGTCAAGCAATATTTACTCTTGATCTCTTTGCATTTCTGCGATGTTGGGTGGGAAGGGAAGAGGGGTGTGTGTGTGTTTAGAG